ACACACTCACCACACACTCACCACACACTCACCACCACCACACACTCACCACCACCACCACACACTCACCACCACCACACACACTCACCACACACTCACCACACACTCACCACCACCACCATCACACGCTCACCACCACCACCACACACCTCACCACCACCACCACACACTCACCACCACCACACCCACCACACCACTCACCACCACCACCACCCACCACACACACACCACCACTCACCACCACACATCACCACACACTCACCACCACCACTACACACTCACCACCACCACCACACACTCACCACCACACACTCACCACACACACTCACCACCACACACTCACACACAATCACCACCACCACCACACATCACCACCACCACCACACACTCACCACCACCACCTACACACTCACCACACACTCACCACACACTCACCACCACCACTACACACTCACCACCACCACTACACACTCACCACCACCACCACACACTCACCACCACCACCACACACTCACCACCACCACCACACACTCACCACCACCACCACACACTCACCACCACCACCACACACTCACCACCACCACCACACACTCACCACCACCACCACCACCACACACTCACCACCACCACCACACACTCACCCCCCCACCACCACATCACCACACACTCACCACCACACACTCACCACACACTCACCACCACACACTCACCACACACTCACCACCACCACTACACACTCACCACCACCACCACACACTCACCACCACACACTCACCACCACACACTCACCACACACTCACCACCACCACTACACACTCACCACCACCACCACACACTCACCACCACCACCACACACTCACCACCACCACACACTCACCACCACCACACACTCACCACCACCACACACTCACCACCACCACACACTCACCACCACCACACACCCACCACCACCACACACTCCCACCACCACCACACACTCACCACCACCACACTCACCACCACCACCACACACTCTCACCACCACACTCTCACCACCACCACCACACACTCACCACCACACACTCACCACCACCACACACTCACCACCACCACCACCACACACTCACCACCACACACTCCCACCACCACCACCACCACACACTCACCACCACACACTCACACTCTCCACCACCACCACACACTCACCACCACCACACACTCACCACCACCACACACTCACCACCACCACACACTCACCACCACACACTCCACTCACCGCCAGAACGCAGTGCCGCAACTGCCTCACCAACACCAGCGGCCTCCTCCTTTTATAAACACGGCCCGGTGGGGGGGGGGGGGTGTACAAGGGGCGGGGGACTACTTTGCTCAGCGCGCAGGCGCACGAGGCACTACTTTTTCTTCCATTGCTTTATCGTTGCGGGGAGAAACGACTGCAGTCCGCCCCGCCCTCACACCCGCGGAGCGTGCTGCGGGTGTGAGTCGCCTGAGATTGGGCCGGGCAGTAGTCGGGGTAGTCAATTGTATAAAAACATTTACTTTGACATTTTTTTTAATACACTAAAAATAATTATTCATGTCCATTGAAATGTATTTCTTTGAAGATGTCTAAAATAAGTATATTAAAAGTAGCAAGGATCAAAGTAAAGTTAATACTGGTAGGAACCACCTGGTTCCACCAGCCCACAGGAGATTACTGTGTCCGTCCGTCCGTCGTGAATCCAAAAATGGGAGGGGTGGGGCTGGGTGGAGAGGGGAGGGTGGGGAGGGGCTGGGTGGGGAGGGGCTGGGTGGGGAGGGAGGGGCTGGGTGGGGAGAGGAGGGTGGGGAGGGGCTGGGTGGTGAGGGGCTGGGTGGGGAGAGGAGGGTGGGGAGGGGCTGGGTGGGGAGGGTGGGGAGGGGCTGGGTGGGGCCGGGTGGGGTGGGGGGTGGGAGGGGTGGGGCTGGGTGAGGAGGGGCTGGTCACCCCGTGGTGCCCTTATAAAACTCAACATTTAACCTACTCACGCCGGCTTGTGCCCGCCCTCAGTCGGGCATATTTGCGGAATACACCACGCCGCCGTTGACCCTGGTCATTGACCAAGCAACCCAACGTTCCTACCATCTCCCTCAGCAGAAATGTGTTAAAACTACCTTAAAATGAAAAAAAAGTTCAGTATAGTAGTGGAGAGATGGGAGTGACTAGACTCACTAGAGCGACTCTACCTCTGTGGCCAATGAAGAAGGATCATTGCGAACGTCGCCGATTATTATATTTGGAGTTTGCGTGCCTCTCTCTGTGTGGTAGTGTGGATTTTTTCTCCGGGTCCTCCGGTTTTCCCCTCCACATTTAAAATCGACATCACGCGTTTAGAGTATTTGGCTGCTTTACATTTCCACACGATGAGGTTAAGCCACTTCGTTGAGCTATACAGCTCAGTGGGCCGTACGAAAGCTTCAAATCAAGATTAAAATGTTTATAGTTTAGTTTTTGACGAACGTGTTTAGTTATTTTTTAAATCCTTTATATTAAGTTCACTTGCGCGCTTGCTTGCTTGCGCGCTTACGACCGTGCAAATCTTTCGGTCGTTTTTTAACCCACTTCCCGTGATCCAATCGAGCTGACATTTTGGCACACAGACTCGTTGTGCGTGACAATTTATTTCGTGAAATTTTTTTTCCAAAATTTCCCATTTTTTAGGGTAAAAAAAAATTATATTTTATTTAAAATACCAATGTGATAAAAATGAAACTCTTACTCAAGAAAAACTGAAATGAATAATAAAATAAAACCGATGCCACGCAAATAAAGGATTTATAGTGAAAAACTTTGTTTTTACGGATTAATTTTTTTATCCATACACCACTGTCAACGCAGTCACAAAATAGCATATTTATGCTAAAAGAATCCGATGAGCTATCAAGCTTTTTTTCACAGATGTTCAGTGGGTGTCGATCAGAAATAATCTTTAATGAATGGCATTGGCACATTCAGACCTGCAAATGCATCTGGGGATGTCACGGCAAGTTCCTAAAGTGCCAAGTCAGCTGATGCAGCGCCACTCGATTTCCGAGCTCACTGCCTGAAACTCGAAGCAATTTGAGCAAAACTTCGTGGTTAGGCCCTCGTTAAATTCAGTATTGAAAAGCCTTAAGGCGCCCGTGAGAGAGGCGCTTTAGCGGTCTGAATTTTATCCGACACATTGGCCACGTATGAATAATAAAACATCTTTGTAAACTTTGTTGATTTAAAGCTTTCGTGACTGCAGGGATTCAAATTCTTGGTTCTTTCGGTAAAGTCACGTAGAAGGGAAATCATAAAATAATATGAATATAAAACAGGAAAAATTCTCACGTTTCGACTGCAACACAAGCAATCATCATCAGGTGTGAAATCCACAGAAAGAAAATCCACAAAAAAATATTTCTATGGATTTCACACCTGATGATGATTGCTTGTGTTGCAGTCGAAACGTCGTGAGAATTTGTATTGTTTAATGTTTATATTTTATTTTCCTTCTACGTGACTACCGAAAGAACCAAGAATATATTTGCAAACGTGACAATCCTTGTCGGGTGGTGGGATAACAATATTTTTTTTACATAAACTACCACGTGGCCTGACCCGAAAAAACAGATGGATCGGTGGTAATCCATGTCTGGTGAAAAACCTCACGGAGCCGGAAGCCTCGTTAATTTGGCCAGGATTCTACAGGATAAGTCCCTTCAAGGCAATATACATTTAGGGACCGTCCATAAATGACGTCACGCACCTAGGGAGGGGGGTCAGACATTTGTGACGATGTATGACGGGGGGGGGGGGGTTGAGAAATGTGACATCACATCAAAATGCGCAACTTTAAATAAATATAAACACGTTCTACTTAATTAAAGACTTTTCAATAAATGTTTTCTCCTACAACATCAGAGTGCAGCGGCACATAAAATACGCACTACAATGACAATAGTTTAAAGTGATTTGAAGCATGATTTATTTTTCGGGGGGGGCAGCTTTGTGACACCATATTTGAGGGGGGTCTGACTTTGTGACGCCGGGTGACTAGGGGGTAAAAAATCAAACGGTGACCTGACAGCGACACAGCACAAGAGAGATTGACATGATGGCGTGTTCTTTAAATGTCTCTTGTTATAGCATTCGTGTTTTTATCCTGAGTTGGAAAGTGTAACAAACAAAAAAAACTTGGCAATCGCAAAGTGCTGCGCCCTCTGCTGGACTTAACACGCAACGTTGCCTATGCAGCAAGAGGGAATCTTGTTTCATGCCTCCTGTACTGCGTTATTCAAGGGCAGAGGTCGCAAACGGGTTTTGATTCCTTACCCGTACTCGGCCGCACCAGGGTCGCAAACGGGTACCCGTACCCTACCCAATACCCGTACCCGGCCGGGTATCGGGTAGGGTACCCGATTGCGACCTCTGGGATGAAGCCATGTTGCAGGCGCGGGTGGGTTGATTCTAGGAACTTGAATTGTGAGAAGAGACAAGACGTTGGGAAATGAGTGACAAACGGTTACTCACCAGTGACTCACGGCTTACCCGTACCCGGCCGCACCAGGGTCGCAAACGGCTACCCGTACCCGGCAGCTGGGTATCGGGTACCCGATTGCGACCTCTGCTATGCAGTAAGAGGGAATCTTGTTTCATGCCTCCTGTACTGCGTTATTCAAGGGCCAGAGCAGATATCGGTGCCACCTAGTGGCACAGCATTAGTATCACCGATCAACTTATTTGAATAACTAATTTCAAGTGACTATCACACAATTTACTGTTCTCGGCCACGTAAATAAATCGGAACCGCGAAAGTTAAGCCACCTCCTCAGGTGGTACCGACAAACGCAACATCTGGTCTCGTTGTGGCCCGGTCGAGCGTGTGTGGACCGCCGCCCGTGCTGTCGCTGCTTTCGATGCTGGCGACTCCCTGTTGATGGCACAGATGGCTGAGAAAAGTGAATTCCAGACTAAGTTGGCAGTAAAAGGGTATAAATGAGACAAGAGGTCACGGGGACACGAGATAAACATTTTTTATTAGGAGCGAGCGTTCCAAAAATGTTCTGAAACACCACAATCCAGACTTGACAGCAAGCATCGTCAAACACCATTCATTGCGCTCACAGCTTTCCAAGGTTTACCAAAATCGACCAGTACATGCAATGAACATCAGTCTCAAATTTGCATCTTGAGAAGTTAGGTAAACCTGAAAAGGCCACATCTGAGATGAATTGAGTTTGACTTCTGGTGATATTGAAATGACCCAGAGATAATAACATCTGTGTACACCTCGGTCTTGGTGTCTAAGGGGATTCGTGAACAGGCGTATCTGTCCCTGTGTCTCTGTCTACTTGACTCCAGCTCCCTGTGTCAGTCTGCCCCATGTCTCGGGACTCACAATCAGAAACTTTATTTTTTTCCTGGAGGAATCCTATGAGTCTTGAAGCTTTTTTTCAAATATGTCCAATAGAGGCAGGTCAGAAAGTTACAACAATACAAAAAAGGGTGTCAAAGGGTGTGTCTACCCCCCCCCCCACCCCCAATATCTTTGTGTGTCGGTCCACCTTTCTCTCGGTGTCTTTCTGATCCTGTGTCCTGTCTTTAAACATTGCTCCGCGTTCCCCCGTTATGTCCCCGTCTGCCTACCCCCCCCCCCTCGTGTCTCCATATATATTGAACTTCCTTCGCACCGTACATAACCAACTGCGTTTCTCTGTTCTGCCCTTGTCTCCATGTCTCCGAGTTCTCCCCGTGTTTCCGTGTCTCTTTGCGCCCCCCCCCGCCATGTCTCTATATATCTCTGCCCCCCCCCCCCACCACCACCGTATCGATGTGTCAGGACAAATCTCAGCGCGACGAGGACGTTTGTCGGGGGCCCTGCGTCTCCATCTCCATCTCGTACTCGATGTCGACGTGCGGTCGCTTGAGACGCATAATCCCCTCGCTCTGTGCTAGTGACGTTGTCGCCACCTCCTCACCCTCCTTTTCCACCTCATCCAGTCGATCCATCTCCTGTGGAAGACATAGCCTCTCTTGAGTTATGTTGTTTTTACACGTTTTTTATTAACTCACTCTGTCTGTTGTTGTTGTTGTTGTCGTAGCCTCAAATCTTGTAACTCAATTTTAACCCACTTCCCAATGTGGTATCGACTGCAAACTTGGTATACTTATGTCATACTGATGACAATACTAAATTCTATCATTAAAAAAAAATAGATATTTTTTTACGTGTTATATTTCGGCTTGGGTCTAATTGTCCACGCTCAACCGACGTTGGCTGTAAATCACCACGGTCCCTTACGTTATGGCAAGCTTCGGGGCCACTTCCTGGAGTCGTGGAGTTCTGCCATTACTAGTACGGTACATTTCATTAAAGCGTGTTTAAAAAAAAGTATTTTTAAATATTACTTATTATTATTTATACTCCAGTCGCCAAACTGTTCCGTCATACATGGCCTAGCCCTGGAGTGAGGAACTGGTTCCTTACTGAGGGCCAAATAAGACTAAAGGGTTCTTCAAGCCGTGGCCAGTGGGACAAATGGTATTGCAGTGGCCCACCGAGCTATGATAATAATTCTGCAATAAAAAATGTATACAATATATCACAAATATAAATGAGCGTGACTTTATGAGGCACGGAGCTGAGGTCAGTGTTACTTGAAAGGCAGGCGAAAGATATGGGGCATTGAAGTGCCTCTTAAAAGTGTGCGTAGATCAGTGATTGAATGCTGTGAATATGCAATGGGATGGGTTTCCAGATGGCAGGGGCTGCCATGGAGAAACGAGGCCTAGCAGTGATGGTCCTGCCTGATCCTTAGTATAGAGAGAAGATTGTGAGTCTTGCATAGCAAGATGAGAGATGAATGAGAGGTGAGAGAGCTGCAGACAAGTACAGAGGAGTGGGTCACATGTCCAGTGATTATGAAGTTGCCACAGCTATGCGACATCATAACATTTGTACACATGCTATTAAATCACTCGGCCCACCACACGCAAACTATATTATGTGACCTGCCAGAAAATAGTTGACTAACTCTAAGTGTACTGCACGTGTGACAGAGACATGCATGTGTGATTCGGTGTATTTGGCTGCTATACATATCCAAATAATAAGCCACTTCATCGAGCTATCATTTGTGGCCAGGTCGCTTACTTGGTTAATCACAAAGTTTATTTGATTTTGATGATGTATTTGCGGTACATGTGTGATGATAGTTGTACTGCACGTGTGATAGAGACATGCGTGTGTGATGCATGATCGATGAAGGCTGATTTTCACCTCAAAGTCACTCAAGTCGCTCTCCTCAAAGTTTTCCCCAACAACGTATTCCACTTCCCTTTCACCTTCCTGCATTTACAGACATAACCACACCATGAGCAACCATCATCATCAATTAGAATCATCATCTCAACAGCATCATCAATGGCATCATCATCATTTTTCATACTTTGTTTTCACATTGCAATGTGTTGCTGATTTTATGTAAATAATTTAACCTAGGTTTCCCTTTATAAACTCCTGTGGTCTTTTGCATTAATTGTGAGTCTATGTAAGTCTAAGTCAGTATATCTCTATATTAAGTTAAGAGGGCTTTGCAAGTACATACAAGTCTATGGGTCTCTGTAAGTCTATGGGTCACTGTAGAAGCCTGCAAATATCTAGGTATAAAGTATATAACTGGCTGTGTAAGTCTATGGAAGTCTAAACTCTGCCACCTCCCGCTGAGAACACATAGGTGCAATGCCCGACAAGGTCTGTGATCTGTGTGCCGTGTGTGTGTGCGAGGGGACGCTCACCTCTTCGTTTTCCTCCTCCTCCTCACTCTCCTCGGCGCTGTCGGCATCCTGCTGCTCCAGCGCCTTGTCAAACGCGTGCGCGGGGAAGTTGTAGATGTCCCCATACTGCAAGAACAAAGATCCCCCGTGTAGCCTTAACAGACTGTTGGGGCAAGTGCTGTTAGCAAGCACCTGTGAAGGTCAGCATGGGATGGCACACGAGGGGGTCGGTGGCCAACACCACGTCCTGCTGCCTTTGTTTACACATCGCACCAGGTACTCATTTGAAGCCGAGTCGACCTAGAGGAGGCCCATGACCAGTTCAGATAATCGTGAATGGTATTGGCCGTGAGCAGGAATCGAACTCGGGTCGCTGGGTTCGTAGCGCACACACACACACACGTTTACATGGTCACGCACAAACTAGGTGAATGGTCATCCAAAACAAAGCACCCCCATTTTAGGCTCAACAGACTCTTGGGGAAAGCGCTGTTAGCGAGCATCTATGAAGGCTCGCACTGCACACGAGGGGGTGGGGTGGCCGGCACCACGCCCGGCTGCCTTTGTCTCTCGAGTGGCAAAGTTTACACATCGCACTAGGTACTCATTGAAGGTTGAGTCGACCTAGGGGAGGCCCTGGTTCAGATATATATTCATCACCGATGTTGGCCCTCGGCAGGAATCGAACTCGGGTCGCTGGGTTCTATTCACAGCGCGCGAACCGCTGCTTAACAACAAGCTTCAGGAACTTTATATGGAGCTAGAGAGCTCTTTAGGAAGTGTTCAAAGCGAGGATGGGTTTTGTTCTTTGAACACGAGGCATGCAGTTGTCTCGCTGGCAGCTTCACGCCGATTACGATTAAGTTCTGGCCGAAGGCAAACACGGTCAAGATCCTCCAGGTTAAGGCCACTAATTGAAAAGGCATGACCAGTGAATGATTGGTGGAGACTTACGCCCAGCTGCTACGTGTGGGTGCAGTAGTGTCAAAGCGACTTGAGAATGTGCACTTTGCTGTTGGCTGCCGGAGCCATGACCCCAGACGATCGGGGGAGGAGAAGGTGAAAGTGGCGTGCATGTGCGTGTACGCGCACGCGTCACCCCGTACCGTTCCTTGCTTCAACCTCTCCAGCAGCTCCTTCTCGATGGCATTCTCCAGCTGAGCGGCGACCAGGGCCTTTTCCTGTCGCGAACAAAGCACCGGGTTATATATCGGCGAGGTCTCTTCACGACGTTAATGATGAAAATTACATTAATGAGCAGGAAGCCAACAATCCCATACGTATGCATGCAACAATCCCAAACTGCTTTTTGTGTTCAGTTTGTTGAACTTCTTTCGCACCGCACGTAGCCAAGCATGCCAATCGGAGGTGCGGGGGAAGGACAACAAAATGAACACAAAACGAAGTTCTAAAAAAATTCGTTTTCAATCTAGATGTAGCCATACCCACCAGATCACTCACCCAATCCCTTTCTGCCTCCCTCTTCTGCCTCATTTTACCTCCCTCCCTGTGTGCAAGAAAAATTCCAAAACTGTCCCCTCAGAATGTGTCTCCCAGTTAACAGCGTGGTTCTCAACTCTTTTTGGATAATGGCGACCCTCCAAACAAGTCGAATGGTTACGAAGGCCACAATACACAGAGCTCATATCCACGTTTCTGATCACCAAGTCCTAGTTAAGGAACTTGTTTCAAGCTGTGCATTAATGTATTTCGTCCCCGCAACTTGGCACCGATGTTCCCTGCGAACATTCAAAAGTCCTACTACACGGTATCCATGCCACAATCAGCACCCCTTCATTGAGAACCCAAGGTTAACAAGGCGTTCTTACCTCTCTCCTTTTCTCCCTGCGCTCCACCTTCTGACTCAAGGGGACCAGCTTCCTCCTGAAACAGACCAGAGACACACACAGAGATAGGGGTCGGGTGTCGTTGCAAAATGAGTAAAATTTATATTCGTGCAATTCTGATAGTGTCTGCGTTGATAGCCTTGCGCTAAGTTTAACATAGTCTGCAGGAGTTTTGTAGCAGGGGGCGATATTGCGATTCGAATTCTAAACTGAGTAACGTGCTGGCAGTTTTTTTGTGGCAAACTTGGGAGTGTGACGCCGGCACACAATTGCCTTCTTGTTTCAAATTAAAACTGGGGTTCTTTTACGTGCAATGTAAACCAGACGATAATGTTTTCATGAATACACCCACAGTAATAACCAGGACGCGCGCTGCCATATTCGAGCCGCAAACCTCTGCAACAAGCGGTGAAGAACGCCACGGTGGCGAGATGTTACCTTCCTCAACACGTCGGCTTTCGCGACCAATATCATCCATAATAGAGGTTTTTTGGTTTAGATCGAGTAACTACGTGTCGTTAAACCTGCCACCACCCGACACAGCCAATTAGTCAGGTTTGTCATGTAAACAAAACGTGGTGGCAGGTTTGGGTGATGGTAGGTTTAACGACACATTTATAGTTATGCAATCTAACCCAAAAAAACTATATCATGTCATCTTCCTCACCTGGTATACAGGAGGTTGGGGATGTGATCCAGACCCTGACGCCTGCTGTATATTTGGACTGTGGTCACGTGGATTTTTTCCTCCGGGTCCTCTGGTTTTCCCTCCACATTTATAAACATGCGTTTTGATTATCTGGCTGCCATACATTTCCACGTGATAAGCCACTCTGTTGAGCTAATAGCACAGTGGGCTTTACCTGGTAAAAAAAAATAGTTTCGATTTATTTATATTTTTTGTGATTTGCTTACCTTTTTATACTTTGCACTGCTATCATGTTTTTGTATTGTTTGTTGTTCTAATGTTCTTACCCGTCCCTACTGGACATCTGTGAAAAACAGTTTTCAAGCTCATGGGATTCCTCCTCCAGTATAAATAACTATTCAGATTCTGAGAACGTGCTACCACTGGCACATACGCGTCACCGCTGGGCCACGTATATCTTCCACCAATTTTATTTCGATGACAAAAACCGAAACGTGTCACAGCCCCCACGGAGCCCGCGTGCGAGTCGTCGTGCGAAGGGGAGCCCCCGCTTACGTGCGCTTGAGCGTGAGCTTGCGGATGCGGATGAGGTACTGCGTGATCTTGGTGAGGCGCTGTTTGCACTTGTGCCTCAGGAAGCGAGGCCAGTAGAGCAGCGCTTCGTCGATCTGCTCAAGCGCCCGCTCGTAGCACTTGCTGAGCTTGACCTGCGTGCGGGGGGGGGGGGGGGTAAACCGTCGGTCACAATGGAGTTGTACTGTTCGAGCGTGCGGTCCAAATGAGACGGTACGAAGTGGACAGAAAATACAAGATGGACGTACAAATGAAAAGGACAATGGAAATGACCCCCGCACCCGAACGCACCTTTTCCCACATGCGGGCAGGGAAGGCAGCTCTTTCGATGACCTTCATGTACAGGTAGCAAATACCTGCACACACACACATATATATAAAAGATAAAGATCCCCCATATAGCCTTAACAGACTGTAGGGGCAAGTGCTGTAAGCGAGCACCTATGAAGGCCACAACGGTACACGAGGGGGTGGGTGGCCAGCACCACGCCCGACCGCCTTTGTCTCCCCAGTGGCGATGTTTACACACCGCACCAGGTACTCATTTAAGGCTGAGTCGACCTAGGGGAGGCCCAGGACCGGTTCAGATAATCGTCACTGGTGTTAGCCGTGAGCGGGAATCGAACCCGTGTCGCCGGGTTCATAGCGCAGCGCGCTAACCGCTACACTATCGCTCCCCACACACATATATATACACACACTTAGACAAGCAATTTCCATGTAGTCTACGTATACTAACGGAGCAAGTGCTGTGATTAAACACCTTTTGTTTGTATGTGCAAGCACCACACTCGGTACTCATTTAAGTGATGATAAAATGTTCAGGACAGGTTCATATGCACGAAGAGATGAACAAGCGTGTGTGATGATCAGTGGCAGTGCGGGACCACACATTTGTTTTGGTATGTAGCCATACACGTGTACATATGTAAAGGTGTGCGTGCAAGTGTGCTTGTGCGAATATTACCTTTCTCCTCCCGCACCGTTGCGTACTGGCTGTTGGCCAGGGGACACGATGATCTGTTGCACAAGCCCGTCGTGTTGTATTCATTACGGCAAAAGTTCTGCGTCTTGGTCCTGAAAAAATTAACCCGTAAAAACAAAGTTTTTCACTATAAATCCTTTAAATGCGTGGCATCGGTTTTATTTTATTATTCATTTCTGTTTTTCTTGAGCAAGAGTTTCATTTTTATCACATTGGTATTTTAAATTAAATATGACATTTTTTTTCCTAAAAAGTGGAATATTTTGGGAAAAAAATTCACGAAAATAAATTGTCACGCACAACGAGTCTGTGTGCAAAATGTCAGCTCGATTGGATCACGGGAAGTGGGTTAAAAAAAGACCGAAAGATTTGCACGGTCGTAAGCGCGCAAGCAAGCAAGTGAACTTAATATAAAGGATTTAAAAAGACAATAACACGTGACCTCTTCTTAACGAGTTTCCACGAGCCACAAAAACGAGGGTTTGAAATTGAGTTGCCATCCAGTGCGTTTCCGCATTTTTCGTCAACTCGATTTGGACCCTGAATATAGGCTTGCAGCACGAATTTCCCTGGCTGATATTGCCTCACCGGCTGGCCCGAATTCCCTACGACAGAATTGAGGCCGTGTGGAATTACGTAACCATAAATTATACAAATTTCACTATTACGAGAAAAAACATTTTTGGAGTGGGGGCGGCAACATTTGATTAATCGTGTATTTATTTCGCTTTCAAAGATTAAATCTGCAACAGTGCCGTCCTAACCTTTGGCTGAGAAAGTTACATTTGGAACGACTTGGCAAACCCGTGTGATAACTCAAAATCACGTACATTCCGCTTTGCTTTATCTAACTTGAGTGGCCTTTCAGCTGGAGTTCTTGGTCACATCGGGTCACCCTCTGGTAAACTCAAGTCGTCCGTCCCATATAGACAAGATACATTAAAATGTGGTACAACTTGTGTATGCTATCGGTCAACCTTCTTTGCTCAAGTAGGTGGCTCAAACGCATCTGCTGCCCCCCTCCCCCCGACTTCTAAAACAGCTCTTCCCAACCCGAGGATTGTGGCCTACTGATGGTCAACAAGGCCATGGAAAGTGGTCCACGGAACTGGCGCAGATAGAACGACTCAAGAATAGTTAATTTTGAAAACTGTAATGGTTGACAGTGATCGGAGCGTCCAGAAAGGTTATGGACTGGTCAAGAATTCCCTTTCTCCCTGCCTCAAGTCCAGTCTCAAGACGATTTCTTACTTTGCCCACGACTGCCTGCCTCTTCCTCGCTCTAAAATAAACGTGCATCGTGATGTGGTTGCATCTCGATACTGCACGAACCCAAACCGAATTGGATTTTATTTGAACCCATCTACGTGACTTTACCGAAAGACGCAAACAATACGAATTGTCTTCTTGGTTCTGTCGGTAAAGTCACGTAGAAGGGAAATAATAAAATTATAAAAATAAAACCTAATGGATTATTATTAACATAAAAAAATAGAAAGTTATTTTTAATAATAAAAATAAAACATAATAAATTATTATTAACATAATAAATGATTAAGTTTTATTTTTTTTTATAATAAAAATTAAAAATTATTGTTTTATTTTTCCCTTCTACGTGACTTTACCGAAAGAACCAAGAAGATGAATCCCTGCAGTCACGAAAGCTTTAAATCGAAATTTAATACGAATTGTATTTTACAGAAAAGTTGGATGACCCACTCTGTCTGAAAGGCCCACTCCGCTGTAATGTTAAGTGGGTTTGGCAAGTAAACGTCTTCAAGGCTCACATCAATCAGCGAGCCTGTGATATTTGAACATGTTCTGGAACCTGCCATGTACCCACCGAACCTCACTAATCCTCACTCACCGACGTGGTAAAGTGAAGCACTGCATATTCTTAGGTGTTTTCGGTAAAGTCACGTAGGTAAAACATCAAAATTAATAAAATAATAAAATATATTTTTTATTAATTTTATTCTTAGGTGTTTTCGGTAAAGTCACGTAGGTAAAACATCAAAATTAATAAAATATATTTTTTATTAAATTAATAAAATAATTTTATTTTATTAATTTTGATGTTTTACCTACGTGACTTTACCGAAAACACCTAAGAATATGATTCCTTGCAGTCACTAAAGCTTCAAGTCTAGAAGTGAAGCACTGCCTCTGCTCAAACTATCCCGACGAACAAATCAAGGCTTTGGGGAGGCCTTCATCCGCGAGCAAAACGGGCTACGTTCAAATACAACTTACTTGACTTTGAAGGAGCAGAACTGCTTGTTTCCGACAATGTCCCAGATCACCTGCGAGACCAAAACAGCAAGGAAATTAGCCTATTTTTAAATTAAAGTCGCCACCAAGGCAGACCCGAGGTTGCAAGGCCGAAGCCTACGCGCCTTGCCTGAGCGGCTCTGCCGGGGAAGGCGACCCATGGTCGGCCAAAGGCACCGCGCCACAGACCCCCCCCCCCCCGCGCGGTCAGTATTCGACGATGAAATAAAAACTTACGTCGTCGTGCTGCATGGCGGCGAGAAGGACTGAACGCGTGTGTGACTTGTAACGCGATTCTGTGCTTGAGAAAGGGAAATGTTTTATTTTATTTCAGTCGTAGCGTGAGCGAAAGAATTTAAAAGCGACACGTGCGTGCGGTAGGAACCGGGTGCCGCCCGGAACCGGATCCCGGAAAAGGGGGCTTCTTGCCTGGGATCCGGTTCCTCAGAGAGAGAGAGTTTCCTTTTGTGAACCAATCAACAATAATTTAGACACAAACTCTTTGGTTCTTTCGGTAAAGTCACGTAGAAGGGAAATAATAAAATAGTGCAAATATAAAAAATAAAAATTCACACGACGTTTCGACTGCAACACAAGCAATCATCATCAGGTGTGATCAGGTTTGAGAAATATGACGTCACATCAAAATGCACAACTTTAAATAAATATAGACAACACGTTCTACTTAATTAAATAGACTTTTTAATACATGTTTTCTCCTACAACATCAGAGTGCAGCGCCACATTAAATGCGCACTACAATGACAATAGTTTAAAGCGAGTTGGAGCATGTTTTATTTGGTGGGGGGGGGCAGAGCTTTGTGACGTCATATTTGAGGGGGGGGTCTGACTTTTTGTGACGCCATGTGACTAAGAGGGGGGGGCGGAGCTTTGTGACGTCATATTTGAGGGAGGGGGGGTCTGACTTTTTGTGACGTCGTGTGACTAAGAGGGGGGGGCAGAGCTTTGTGACGTCATATTTGAGGGAGGGGGGGTCTGACTTTTTGTGACGTCGTGTGACTAAGAGGGGGGGGGCAGAGCTTTGTAACGTCATATTTGAGGAGGGGGTCTGACTTTTTGTGACGCCGTGTGACTAAGAGGGGGGGGGGCAGAGCTTTGTGACGTCATATTTGAGGGGGGGGTCTGACTTTTTGTGACGCCGTGTGACTAAGAGGGGGGGGGGGCAGAGCTTTGTGACGTCATATTTGAGGGGGGGGTCTGACTTTTTGTGACGCCATGTGACGAAGAGGGGGGGGGGGCAGAGCTTTGTGACGTCATTTTTGAGGGGGGGGTCTGACTTTTTGTGACGTCGTGTGACGAAGGGGGGGGGGGGCAGAGCTTTGTGACGTCATATTTGAGGGGGGGTCTGACTTTTTGTGACGTCGTGTGACGAAGGGGGGGGGCAGAGCTTTATGACGTCATATTTGAGGGGGGGGTCTGACTTTTTGTGACGTCGTGTGACGAAGAAAGGGGGGGGCAGAGTTTTGTGACGTCATATTTAAGGGGGGGGGTCTGACTTTTTGTGACGTCGTGTGACTAAGAGGGGGGGGCAGAGCTTTGTGACGTCATATTTGAGGGGGGGGTCTGACTTTTTGTGACGCCGTGTGACGAAGAGGGGGGGGGGGCAGAGCTTTGTGACGTCATATTTGAGGGGGGGGGTCTGACTTTTTGTGACGTCGTGTGACTAAGAGGGGGGGGGGGAGGCAGAGCTTTGTGACGTCATATTTGAGAGGGGGGGGGGCTTTCCCGGTGAACAAAAAAAATTCCAGTTTTTAGTTTAATCGCCTCATTCCCATACACAGTATGTCTGGCCACGTAATTTTTACACATTCTATCAGCCGCACGGTCTACTGCAAGTGCATAATGTCATCAGTGTTTGTTCCACGCAAGAAAAACTCTTTGATCGGTTTCAAAATTCAGTGTCCCATCGACAGCCAGGCTTGCTTGAATCAATACTGGAACTTTGAGGAACCAATGCGTTGGCAAGTGCTTGCACAAGCACAATTAATGACAATAGAGGTAACGCAATCGTCAATTAATCAAATAAATATTTACAAAAGGCGACGTCTCGAACAATGGCCCTTCTTCACAGCTTGTGGTGACATGATGTGCAATACCGCACTATGCTATTATTTGTCCGCCGGATGGCGCCACCACTCATTGCGTTAAGCACGTTAAACATTATTTATTTAAAGATTTCGTGACTGCAGGGATTCATATTCTTGGTTCTTTCGGTAAAGTCACGTAGAAGGGAAACAATAAAATAATAAAAACATTAAACAATAAAAATTCTCACGACGTTTCGACTGCAACACAAGCAATCATCATCAGGTGTGAAATCCACAGCAATATTTTTTTTTCCAAATTGAAATCCACAGCAAGTATTTTTTAAAAACATTTTCTTGCTGTGGATTTCACGCCTGATGATGATTGCTTGTGTTGCAGTCGAATCGTCGTGAGAATGTTATTGTTTACTATTTTTATTATTTTACTGTTTCCCTTCTGCGTGACTTTACCGAAAGAACCAAGAATGCACGTTAAACATTTTGGTCATTTTGTTTAAACCAAGGACAAAAAATCATAAGTGACACATATTCCAGCATCAAAGTGACATTGATCCAAGATTTCCTCCGCTCAAAATGAATTTGTATTTATACTGGAGGAATCAGATGAACTATAAAGCTCTTTTTCACAGATGACCACTAGTGGCCCATCTGATACATGTTTTCATGTTAAACTAAATACAACTAATACCGTAATTTAGACGTAGTGTGTGTTGTATGTAGTTTGTAGCAGTGTATCTATCCAGTGTGTGTAGTATACTGTGCATCTTATATTGTACGTATTTATCATCCATATTATAGGTTTTTTTTGGGTTAGATCACGTAATGTTGATGTACTAGTAACGAATTGGCATGCTCTTTTCACGTGACAAACCTTACTATAATTGGCTGTGTCTGGTGGTGGCGGGTTTAACGACACGTTTATATGTATGCGATCTAACCCAAATAAACTATATTATGAATGATATTGGTCGCGAAAGCCTACGTGTTAAACTATGCATTTATCGTATAGTATATTGAGTTCATATTGTATATATTGTCTTCTTGTTCTTTCGGTAAAGTCAAGTAGAATGGAAATAATAAAATAATCAAAATAAAACATAATAAATACGTCTCACGACGTTTCGGCCACAACGCAAGCAGCCGTCTTCACCTGAGGACGGCTGCTTGCGTTGTGGCCGAAACGTCGTGAGAATTATTTATTATGTTTTATTTTGATTATTTTATTATTTCCATTCTACGTGACTTTACCGAAAGAACCAAGAAGATGAATCCCTGCAGTCACGAAAACTTTAAATCGAAATGTATATATTGTCTTCACTGTATGTTGTATGGAGCACTATTTATTTGTTAAAAGTCTGTTGTGACGTATTGTGTGACGTAGGATTAATATACAAGAATTCTGCTTTTGTTTCATTAAAATTATTAGTCATCACGAATGTAATTCCGAGAACACGTGTGCTTTAAATTGACACAGAAAGAGGAACACGTGGCTTAGAGAACAAACGCAAGGAAGGACAGGGTGAGAAATTAAGAAGTGAGAGGAAGACTCAAAGTGGTAGAAATCACAGAGAGCATGAGAGAGTAAAGGCTGGTGTGGTTCGGCCATGTGGAGAGACATTATGTGGGTTAGAAGGTGTCAAGTGATGCAAGTGGAAGGAAAGAGATCAAGAGGAAGCCAACAGAGGTGGGGGAGGGGGCGATGTGGTGCGATAGGATCATGGTGCACGACAGGGCAGCGTGGAGAAGGTTGGCACATGAGTGGGACAAACGCGTGGAAGAAGAAGACTAAATTTCGATTTAAAGCTTTCGTGACTGCAGGGATTCATCTTCTTGTTTCTTTCGGTAAAGTCACGTAGAAGGGAAGTAATAAAATAATAAAAATAAAACATAATAAAACAATTCTCACGACGTTTCGGCTACAACGCAAGCAGCCGTCTTCAGGTGAAGAATGAGACACTACCAAACTAGGAGCTTATATATAAGCTGCATTGGGGGTTGAAGAGCGCCTTAACAAAAAGAATGTGCATGTGAAGAGGGATTTAGCATATTCATGGAAAATGCGTAGGCGTTGGGCGGGGGGGTGTCAAAGTCATATTATGCCCATGCATTATGCAGGATCAGCAGCAACCAAGGGGGGTGCAGGGATTAGCAGTAACAAAGGAAAGTATATAGTACGGTATATGCTCGTGTGATGTAAGAGAATAAGGTTTAGATGGAAGCATATTATAGAATTTTTACGAGGTAAAATTGTAATGTATTACTTGCTGTTAGTAACTCAGCTTATTATAGAGTATAGTAAGTATACTGATGGTGCGATGCAGTTTATACTTTAGTTTTTTATGTAGTTTATACTTTAGTTTTCTACGTGTTGTTGAGTAACTGCAGCTACATATCATTAACATTCCTTTCCTTTGTTACTGCTAATCCCTGCACCCCCCTTGGTTGCTGCTGATCCTGCATAATGCATGGGCATAATATGACTTTGACACCCCCCCGCCCAACGCCTACGCATTTTCCATGAATATGCTAAATCCCTCTTCACATGCACATTCTTTTTGTTAAGGCGCTCTTCAACCCCCAATGCAGCTTATATATAAGCTCCTAGTTTGGTAGTGTCTCATTCTTCACCTGAAGACGGCTGCTTGCGTTGTAGCCGAAACGTCGTGAGAATTGTTTTATTATGTTTTATTTTTATTATTTTATTACTTCCCTTCTACGTGACTTTACCGAAAGAAACAAGAAGAAGAAGACTAAAGGCATCATACTGGTAGGAACCTCCTGGTTCCACCAGCCCACAGGGGAATATTGTGTCCGTCCGTCCGTCGTGCAGGGAGGGACTGGGTGGGGAGGGAGGGGCTGGGTGGGGAGAGGAAGGTGGGGAGGGGCTGGGTGGGGAGGGTGGGGCTGGGTGAGGAGGGGCTGGGTGGGGAGGGCTGGGTGGGGAGGGTGGGGAGGGGCTGGGTGGGGAGGGTGGGGAGGGGCTGGGTGGGGAGGGGAGGGTGGGGAGGGGCTGGGTGGGGATGGTGGGGAGGGGCTGGGTGGGGAGGGTGGGGAGTGGCTGGGTGGGGAGGGGAGGGTGAGGAGGGGCTGGGTGGGGAGGAGCTGGTCACCCCGTGGTGCCCTTATAAAACTCAACGTTGCGCCCGAAGCGTTGTGCCCGAAACGTCGTGATTTATTTTATTTTCTACCTACGAGACTTCACCGAAAGTATTGATTCCTGCAGTCACAAAACCTTCAAATCAAAATAGGTAGTCAATAGTGCTACGTGCTACATTTGCTACAGCAGCAAAATAAATTCTACACTACTGAACTATGGCCCCACACTCTCTCACTTGATACAGCTATCGTGCTGTGACGGTT